AACTAGTTTGGATTTATGCTAGAGAGATCAACCGTGGAAGCTATATTTCTTTTGAGACAATTGATAGAAAAGTTCAGAGAGACCCAAGACATGCTCCTTCGTCTTCTTGAAAATATTTTCTTGTACCCTGCAAAGGAAGACACTAGAATTTGGACCCCTACCCCCTCGGGCTCTTTCTTTAAAGTCTTAACCCAGCCATCCAGCCCCATAGGCCCTCCTTTCCCTATCAAAGAGATTTGGTGTAAGCCAATTCCTCCTAAAGTTGGGAGTTTTTATTGGGAAACTTTTCTGGAAAGAATCAACACCAGTTACCTGCTTCAATAAAAGAGACCCAAACCCAGTCGAATTGACTAAACATATTTAGGAGGAAGTCCATGTTAGGGTCTTAAATTCTTAGTGACCTGCTCAGTTGGTTAAGGACATGGATCTTCACCAAGGCTCAACACTTTAGCCCTTATCTATTTGCACTGATCATAGATGAATTGACTAAACATATTTAGGAGGAAGTTTCATGGTGCATGTTGTTTTCATATGACATTGTTTTAATTGATGAAACTAATGAAGGATTAAATGCAAATTTAAGCTTATGGACAAATCCTCAGAAACAAGAGGTTTTAAAATAAGTAGGAGTGTAGGACTAAAAAAGAATATATGACATGTAAAATTAGTAATAATAAATCAAGATCCACTTAGGATTGGAGACCAAGAGATAACTTAATGTGACAATTTCTGGTACCTTGGTTCAATAATTCATAATGAGGGAGAGATTGAGGAGGATGCCACCCAAAGAATGGGAAAAATGGGCAAGATGGGCAAGATGGGCAAAATTGGCAAAATGGAGGGGTGCATCTGGGCTTTTATGTGATAAGCAAATACCACTTAGATTAAAAGGAAAATTCTATAAAACTGTTGTAAGGCCAGCTATGTTATATGGAGCAAAGTGTTGGGCAGTCAAGAAACATGTCCAGAAAATGAATGTGGCAGGAATGCGAATGCTAAGATGGAGTAGAAAAACTAGAAATGATAGGATTAGGAATGAAGTTATTTATAGGAACCTAGGAGTAGCTCCAATAGGTGATCAAATGAGAGAGAGAGTAGACTAAGATGGTTTGGGCATGCGCATAGAAGACCACCAACTGCACCAGTTAGAAGAAGTGTATTGTTACACATTGAAGGGGCTAAAAGAGCTTGGGGTAGACCAAAAAGGACATGGGTAGTAAGAAATGATTTAAGCACTAATCGTTTAACAGTGAAATAGAACAGATTGGCGAAACAGGATTCATGTAACAGACCCCATATAGTTGGGATAAGGCATGGATGATGATGATGTCCCTGAGGGATGGATCACAATGCTCTTAAACCTTAAGGCTAAAAAGAGTTGCATTATTTTGTAATTTGAATTAGGAAGAGCATCATCACAAATTATGTCCCTGAGCTGAAACAACATGGTTATATTTACATGGACATCATGGTAAGGAAGGTAAAAAGCTAACCATTCAAAGAAAAGAACCATAATGACATGGAGGGATGGAGACAAAAAGCACATGAAATTGAAAATGTATTGAACTTGTTATATGATATGAGTGGTACTCCATCAACTTTGTTGTACAGGAGTAACAAAACATTGAGATAGACTTGACTTGCAACTGTAGCCCCCTAATATGAGTAGAAAAAGAAAGTGTTGTTGGGAAGAGATATTGTTTAGAGAATGAGGTTCTACTTGATTTTGGGAATTCCAGAAATGTAGATAGTGAAACGCTGACATGATGGTATCCTATGCTTGGGGCAGGATAAGTTGGCTTTGACAATGTTGGAAGTTAGCAGATCCAATACTCTGCTAATGAATCCAATATTTTCAAGATTTATTATTTATATTGACATGACTAATTATCCTTTTGATTTAGTAATTTTGCTTTTCTTAATTTTAGTAAGTCTTTTATTGTCTACTTTCACATTTGCTGTCAACTTGCATATGATTGTTTACAGGTCCTGACTTGTGGCATTATAAATTGTGATTATGATTTATAAAATGATCTTCTTTATGACTTATATGACCTTTATGAACTAAAAAACAGTTTTTATTGGATAAAATCCCTAACTTTCAGACTTCTCGGTATGATCAATATGAACTACTAGTGTTGAACTATAGTTTTACTTCCCTTCCTTTTTAAATACGTAAACTACTCTTGCAGTTTAGCAAATAGATAAGAAGTTACCCTACTGTTTGCATAATCACTTAAAGTACCCTTAGCTTTTCTAACAATGGCCAGAGTCACCCCTTACTGTCAGTTTTCCGTTAATATCTGCTAGCATGTAATGCCACATGACATTTTAGTTTTTCAAAATTCCTAAACTACCCTTTATGGTCAAAAATACCCTTTGGCCTTTAATGACAACTTCTCTTCAATATTTTGGACAAAGACACCCCCTACTCACCCACCTGTTTTCCTTCAGAGCTGCGTCAGAGTGGCTATGATGATGGCAAACAGAAGAACTCAACGTTGGCTTTGCTCTGGTTTGGCAAACACAAAACTGGTTCAGTAATACATCAGAGACTTTCTGAATAAAAAACACGAGCACCAAAGAAAGTCTGAGAACTATCCAAGTACAAAAATTTCATCTTAACAAAGAACAAAGATGAAGGTGATGGGTGTGCGGTTGATCGCCATGACCGTCAATAACACGGCGACGCCAGAACCCAACAAATGCCCAGTGAAGACTATCTTATACGATGACCCATTATCAACTCACCCACAACTTCTTTAACATCTCAGATTCCTGATTCAACAACCAAATCATCGATTTCAATAACCCATGATTTACATACACGCCATTGAACATCTGCATTCCCATTTTTTTGGTCTATATAAATGTTTAAAGTCTTGTAATTAAACCATCAAATCTGGCATCAAGTACATAAGAACAACAATTCTAAACAAATCCCAGAATGCACTCTTATCCAATAACCAAATTTCCAATTACAAAATCCATGAGTTCTTAAAAAACTAATGGATGCATAAACCTACCGCAAATAACTTTTAATCACCTCCGGCCTTCTGATAAACGTAAGTCAACCCACACTTTCCACAGTAGTGTCTACCGAAATGGTTAGCCATAAAAATCCTAGCCCCACACTCCTGATTCGGGCACTCTTTCCTCAGCTTTTGAACCTTGCTCGAGTCCTCAACCTCGTTGAACTGCAACAGATCAAACTTTTTTTGCTCCTCTGGGTCAGAGAACCAAGTAGAGCGTAGGTTCCTTCTGGATGTTGTAATCGGCCAGTGGCCATCCTTGAGCTTCTTTCCCGTGAAGCTAAGGCATTGCTGATCCGGAGGATTGTCCTCTTTGTCTTGGATCTTTGCCTTCACCTTGTCAATGGTGCCTGAGGATTCAACCTCCAGGATTATGGTCTTCCCTGTTAGGGTTTTTATGAAGATCTGCATGGCTACAAATCGGTTGAGACCAAAGGAGAAACAATCCCCAATCTGAAAGAAGGGATGGAAGATCTTGCATTCCCAATTTATTATCAAGCAAGAGCTTGTAATCACTCTCATTGACAAGATTCAAACCTCTAATGGCGAGAATGATTTCACAATGCTTGTAATCACGCCCTAGGTCTGCTTGTATGTGACACGCTTCACGGTTTTGTGGGACACATGGCGAAAGTGGATTGTTTTATGGGGATGGAGTGAGAGGCTGAGCTCTGCTGAGTTTGGGAAGGTCTGGGAGCTTCTCATCACTTTAGAGAATAGATGAGCCAGTGGATTTGAATTTGACATCCTTTAATGTGGTCGGTGGGACGGAGAACACTGGGTGTTAGGTCTGGATCTGGTACAGAGGCCGAGAAATTATTGTCAGGATTTTCCATGGTTGCCTTCTCTGATGTGTTTTACTCTTGGCGGTGAAAATGCAACTTCAGATCCGGGCTTGTATAGTTAAGTTAAATCTATAAGGGAATAAAAGACATTTTATCCTCATAGTGATTTCAGGTTCTTTAGCTCTTTACTTAACAGAAGCAATATCATCATTTTATCTTTTCCGTCAATATTTAATGGTTTTGTCCATTGTTAGAAAAGCTAGGGGTACTTTAAGTGATTTTGCAAACAGTAGGGTAACTTCTTGTCTATTTGCTAAACCATAAGGGTAGTTTAAGTATTTAACCCTTTTTTTTTCTGAAACTTCATTGGGGCTTTGCAGCTTGCTTTATTTCCTCTTGATGATTTTGCACTCCTTTTTAAAATTTTATTGGAGGAAAAAGAAATGGAGAAAACTTGATTAACTCAAATGACTACTCAAGTGAGATTTGGGCCAACTTATATTTGTTTCTCATTCATGTCAGTTTTCAACTTGAGTTTTCTGCACAGATGCCATTCTAGAGAACCCAATCATCTGGCTTTGTTTTCCTCACTTTGTTGTAGATATCCAGCATTTTATTACAATAGAACTGATGAATCAGTAATGGCTACTTGGGCAAAATGGGGATCTTTCTCTCTCTCAAGGACATCAATAACATGGATTTATTAATGGTTTTGGATATAAGAACAAAGACAAATGTAGGGAAGGAGGTGGTGTTCTGTTTTTTCTGGAAGCTTCATGTTTTGTGGTTAGTAGTATTAGTATGTAGAAAAGAAGGCAGGATTCTCTCCCAGGCATGGTCTCTTGTTGCAGAATCAAGTAACTAACAGTTGACTGACTACAGTAGGTGAATTGACAGGGCACTGTATATGCTACCTGTCTGTTGTACATCTCTTTTTGAGTGCTTTTCCTTTTTCTTATTCTTTTGGCATCTTCAAAATTTTCTTTGTTGCTTTTGCAAACATTATGAACTGGAGAAACGAGTTATGGGATTCTACCATATTTTACATATGTAGATGAAAATATATGTAGTACTATAGTTGGGAAACTTTATATTTAAACAATATTATTTTGCACTTCCTACATAAATGTAGATGACCTTTCAAGATGAAATGTTGAACTTCCCTGTTTTGCAAATTATGCAGGTTGAAGCAAAGAAGCAGACATTTTCCTCCTTTGATGATTTGCTTGCAAATTCTGACAAACCTGTATTGGTTGATTTTTATGCAACCTGGTGAGTATTTTTTTTTTTTAGTTTGTGGAAGCATTCACCAGAACGGATGTATTTCATATAACTATATCTATACCATATTCTAAAATGCAGTTGTCCATGTCAGACTCCTCATATTGCTTCCCAATCCTTTTAGAATTTTGTGTTTTTTTTGAATTTTTAAAAATAAAAATTAAATATGGAGCATTGGAGCTATTTAAGCTCATCCACAACTAATTCAGTTAAGAAACTGAATGTAACATGGGCATCTTTTTAACACCACCCCGTGCACTAGTTTATTTAGAATTAATCTATCATGTTGTTACTGTAAATAATCCTTTAATCATGTGGTGGTGCAATTTTTCTATTGTTTACTATTGCTAACTTTGTCTAGATGTTTTTTTAAGGTATGATCTTCTGAAAGTATGTTTATTAATTGGTTCATGACTTGCAGGTGTGGTCCTTGCCAGTACATGGTTCCTGTTCTCAATCAAGTTAGCAGTACGCTGAAAGATAAGATCCAAGTGGTCAAAATTGACACAGAGAAATACCCAAGCATTGCTAATCAATATAGAATTGAGGCACTACCTACATTCATCATTTTCAGAGATGGGAAGCCTTGCGATCGCTTTGTAAGTCAACTGTGTATTTCATTTTGTTTCCTGCAATAGGCATCTAGTTTTATACAAGCTTTATGTACATGCACTTCTAGTTCTGGAATTTAAGGTCTGCACCAAGCAATTTTAGTACAAAGAATCAATGCCTCATGGGATTAGTTTTTGTGTCTTGATCCATTGAATTATCTTGGAAGGTTAGATTTACAATTAAGTTGGTGCATTGATACAACAAAAACCCAATAGGTTGCAATTTTAGCGTATTTAGTCAAGGTCCACATTTGGTAAAGAAGGTTGTGATGGTGCCATCCATCAACTTTTGGATCCCTTCCTTAAAGATCTGTGCCACCTCTATAGCTAAACCACTGTTTGAGTACATGTATACCTTGCACTATGGGTATGGGCCTATGGGGATCTTATTTGTCCTTCTAATTAGTGGTGTATTGTTTTCTCAGTAAACAATTAAAGAAAATTATTGGTTCTTATTATTTTCTTCTAAATTCCTGGCAAATTTTCTGCATTTTTTCAGGAAGGTGCCTTGACTCCAGATCAGCTTATCCAACGTATTGAGACCGCATTGCAAGTTAAGCAATAGTTCATCTGGTGTGCCTTCTTGAGAAGTGTGTTCTTCAATTCCAGCTTTTAAACTTTTTTTTGTTCATCTTGTGGCAGCATATTTTAAGGGATAATAGTTTTCGCATTTTAGCTCTCGTAATAAGGCTTTGATTTGTTATTCAGCTTAGATGAGTAACCAAATGTAGACCAACATTAGGAATTTTGAGTCCCCTGTCCTTTGCATGCAAGATCTCACACATTTACACGAATATCCTGGTCGGCTGGTCCTATGAATCAAGAATCAGAAATTTGGCTGGTGACCCTTGCTACAATTGGAATGTATAGAGCCATTGTTTGTAGCTTCCATCACAATTTATCTAACTATGATTTTCCTTTTTGTGATATTTCTCAGTACTAGTGGTTATATTATTCTTATATTTATATACTTGAATCAATGAAGATCAACTTGGATGCTAGGCAAAGTGCTGAGAAATGTAGTAAATTATATCTCTACAAAATTATATTGAGCGAAGAAGGGTGAATAGATTCGTATTCCATGGAAAACCAGTCTGCATGATTGAGAGAGAGAGAGACAGAGAGAGGGAGAGAGCTATTATATATTCCGTGGAAGCATTTTCTTCATCTTTTGGTCATGCCCATATCATCTATTGAGACAGGGGAGGTGGAACACTTTTTCCAACTAATTCAACACAGTGATTCCACAGTCTACGTCCCCAAATGTGAAGTGCTTGCGTATCAGGTCTTTCAGAAGGAGGCTTTGAGAGAATATAATTGAGGATATCATCCCAACAATGCTTTTGCCTTTGAATCACTTCCCTGCAACAGTAAATGTCATCAAGCGTGTTCAGACCAACAAAAGCAATTGCCATGTTGTCTGCGCATACCAGAGGGAACCCCTCTTGGCAAGGTCCCTTGTATCCTTCATCCATGGGCCTAGACGCATTGACTGTTGCAGCATGCAGCATTGCTGCAGTGACGAGGAGTAACACCAGCACTGAGTTATCACGGAACCATGCCATGTTATATCTTTCCTCTTCTTCCCTTGGTCTGTTGTACACGCCTGTAGGGAGAAGAGATAGATGAGTTTATATGGGGAAATAGGTGAGAGAAAGAAGTGTGATAAACTTCAATTAATATATATTATTAATGAGTTCTAGACGTTTTGCAGGGTCTTTATTTCCTGGGTATTTTACCTGAAAACTTTATTAATTATTAAAGGTATCTTGTCAAAGAAAATTTTACCTGAAAAGGCATTAATGAAATGAAATGGATTCACCCTCTGTTGGGTTGTCTTGTGGAGGTTGAAAATAATTCTGGGCATCTCTTGCTCCAGATTTATCCCAACTGTTGGCCAGTTGGTGTTTTAAAACTCAGAAAGTCTTCATACTTGGATTTCAGTTCAGAAGAATTAGAGTGAGGCGTAGTTAAGGCATGAGTTTATACGAAATTAAATAACTATTTGTAAATGTAATTAAAACATTGGAACCGCTTTCAAATAAAAAACTTAGAACATTGGAATCAATATTTTGATATCTCAAAGTAAATGTAATTAAACAAGTCAACAGGATGAGTTTTGAAGCGATGGAAAGCTTAGATTGCTGATAGCATCTTTTTTGTTACCAGTTAACTGCACAAATCCTTCAGTATTCCCCCAAATGGAAGCTAACCAGATTATATATATAATTCCAATATCATTTATAAATTCATCAGTTATGAAGAAAGAACAGATTTAGGATCTGAAAATTCCATCGAGAAAAAAATATGGAAAAAAAAGGGAAGGAAAACAAGATACTCAAACACAAAGATTTTTGTGATTTGGCTTATAATAGCTTATGTTCATGAGTGTCATAGGAGAACACTGTAGAACAGTAGCAAAGATTATCGTTGGTTTATACAACCTCTCACCAAACCCTATCTTCCAAAACATCCAAACATTAGGTTTTTGGATTTTGAGACGGGGGTGGGAAGGAAATTTTATTTTCTTGGTACCCATCTCACAGGTGGGTAAAAAACTTTTCCACAAAGGGAAAAGTTGTAAACACTTGGATGAGACAAAATACTCCTTTTAGTAATGGACTTTTATGGCTAAAACGGTTATTGCTTTATTTATCCGGGAAATAAAAGAACATGGGTAAATACACTTACCCGGATAAGATAAATGCATTTACCTGGATAAATAACTTACCTAAAATCGAACAGGGCCTCAGTGTCTCTCACACGTCCCCCCTCTTTTTTTCTTCTTAAAATACAAGATAGTTTGCTAATACAATAAGATATACATGTGAACCAAACTCTAATAAGTCCCATATATGAGTCAGATCCAATAATGATGCGGGTCTATACCACACGGCCCAAACCATCTCCATCACAAACCACTATAAAATTTTCTCTTTTAAAATTTTTGTCAATTTTATTCAGGCGAGTCAATCACTGCGTTGCAAATGGAATTCAAGGTACAAACTCAACAATCACAAATATTATGACCAAAAAATTAAAATCAATTTAGTCTACAATGTGATGTACCCAAACCATTTGGCCTTTGTTAAGAGTAGTCCTTTTCTCTTTCAAAATTCTTGACAATATAGTACTTCAATTTTGTGCCACAAAAGTCACAGGCTCCGATTAAAAAGACTGAAGATTTAATGCAAAGCCAGAAACCACGAAAGCAAACGCAGAAAAGAGAAGATTCCTTCCCTCCTTTCAACATTGTTCAGTGATAGCCCATGTCCACAACTTCTGGACTTGCATTTAGAGCAGAAAACAAAAATCATGGATGCCAAGTTTTTTCAAAACCCAATATAGAAATTTCTCTTCTTGCTACTCGGATGTGTATGATGAATTCAGAAAATATATGCCTCATCGAAGAACAGATGGCACCGATACAAAATGAGTTGGAACCTTCCTGAAACCTCTAAGAAGAATCAATAGTGTGGCAGTTTTGGTTCTTTCTCCTGGGTCTAATTACTATAACACTTCTATTTCTTCTTCCACTCCTCTCGTTGTCCTTTCTCTTCCTCTTCCATGTTTTTCTGTAACTCTTTTTGTTTAGTAAGTTAAATTAGCACACTTCGGTTAGGTTAACCAATCCTAATGGCTTTCTAAAATTGTGAACCAAAATCGAACGAAATCAATCAATTAATCGGTTAATCAGTTCAGTTTTCATGGTTTTTTATATTTATAATATAAATTATAAATATATAATAATAAATATGCATATATAATCATGGTTTTGTCTAGGTCTATCAAAGATCAAACCTGTATCTTAATTTGAACCAAAACTGAATCCAATCAATTTAGTTAACCAGATTTTTGGTTCAGCTTTTTGGTTTTCCATAGTGGTGGCAATTGGGCGGGTTGGGTTGGGTTGAATTTCAGCCCAATCCATTTAACCCGCCAACCCGTTAATAACCCAGTTATATAAAATTAAATGGGTTGGGTTTAACCCAAACCCACTTTAGCCCAATCAAACCTGCCCAAACTCATTAATCTTATATTTATGTACTTAAAACAAAAAACTAACTCCTTTTTAACAAATAAGTTAGTCATAGCTTAGTGGGAATAGTAGTTATTTGCACAAGTTGTGAAGGTTCAAATTACATTACATGCATGCTATTTTTATACAAGCAGCAAAGCCATTTAACTATGTTCGGGTTTCGGATTTGATGAACCACATAGGTGCAAACCGGTCAGACCAATTTGAACTATCTAATTGGATTGTCTTCGAGGTAATCACATCAAGTTCAAGAGTGGTTGAACCGTTTAGATCCGGATCAGTCCGGCTGGACTAGACCCCGCCCGAACCGATTCAATTCGGTCGATCAGACCCCGATTGGACCGGTTCAGTTCGGTTGTGCCAGACCCCGATCGGGACAGTTCAATCCAGTCGGACCAGACCAGACAAGGGCAGTCAAATGGTGGATTGACTTGGGTCGGTTCATATCAGGTTTGTGCATGGGTTTGGGGTTGAACCGATTGGCCCAAAGCAGGTCAAAAGAAGTAAATCAGACCGTGCCGGATTCGGGTCGCGTCATACGGATATGGACCACACTAGGCAAAGCAAGCGTGGCTGTTTAGGGTTCGGGTCCCACCCGGTCCGACCCGTCTCAGGTTTGGGTCGACCTGAATCGGCTTGTACCGGGTCGAGCCAGACTTGTGAATAATGGTTGGACCGGACGACCCAAACCAGGCAAAGCAAGTGGTATCGAGCCATCCCATCCAAGGTCTATTTCGAATTCGGGTCAAGCGGATCAGTATATGTTGGATCGGGTCAGACCGCGTTGAACTGGTTCGGACTTGGGTCAAATTGATTTGGATTTATGTTGGGTGAAGTGTGTTAATTTAAGACAACTAAATTTAGTCAATAATTAATAGAAAATTAATGCATTAATTATAAATTATTTAATTCAAATGAAGAAAATAAAAAAAAGGCTAAGGAATTAATACTAATGTCTGTAATAGTTAACCCAATGGTTATCCACAACCCAACCCAACCCAACCCATTTAAATGGGTGGGTTGTGTGACGGGTTTATCACACAACCCGCCAAGTAAATGGGTGGGTTGGGCAGGTTAGATACTGGGTGGGTTGGGTGGATTCAGCGGGTTGGGTGAAAAATTGCAACCCCTAGTTTTCGATGAGCAACTTTTAGGCTCAGTTTTAAAGGAGTACAAATACAAATATGTAGAGTGTAAAATTTTATATTTTGCATGTATTTGTACTCTATCGGTCTGTCCAGACTAAGCTTGAAAATGTCCCTGTATAAGAAGAATTGCAATGCCCTTCTGATTAATGTAGTATTAGCGGGGACCTATGCGATGCACGGGATTTACTAAAATACCTTATAGTTTCATAGATTTACTAAAATCTACCATATAGTTAGAATTTTACTAAAACACCACTTATAATTTAAAATGGATTTAATTAATCTTCCATGAGATGATATTAGAAAATGATAGTGTTGACCCTAATGTTTATTTAAATAAATTTAATCAAAAGAAAATAGAAATCAAAATACCATTTTTACCCTTAATAAGACACGGCCAACAACTCTATTGGCTATATTTGGCCAATTTTGTTTTTTGTATAAAAAAGTGTTAAGGGTATTTTTGGAATAAAAAATCATGGGCCTAATGGCAAAACAAACACTCCTTAATGAAAGAAAGGTTGATTAAGTAAATAAGTTATAAAATATATGGGATGTTTTAGTAAAATGAAAAATATAAGGTAGGTTTAAGTAAATATGTAAAACTATAAGGTGTGTTCTAGTAAATGACCCTAATAGAAACACATAAGAGTATACAATTGTTTTATATTTTTAACTTTTTAAATAATTAATAATTATTCATATTTTATATACTATTTTTAATATTTTTTTATAATATAAA